AAACTTTCAACATGGAGGTTGGTCTGCGTAATCTACAATTTCATAAAAAGCAGTGAAGTCTACATACATGTAAGTGTCATAGATACTGACATGGTCTTAAACCTGTCATCTCTCTGAGGCTCAGCAACTGTGTAAGTGTAAAATGAACTTTTGGCTGCTATACTGACAATAAATAAATGGAGACCAAGTGCTGCTAATCAGTTGTTCCACTAACCATAGTTAGATGATTAAACATTCCATCAATTAAAAATACTTCTCTTTCTTTGCTAAATAAAAGAACATACTTATGATATCAGTAAATATTTACAAACCTGTTCACTTGAGTAACTCTCACAGCACAAATCAAGTTTCCTTGGTCATTAAGCCAGTCTGTGCCTGTATCATGCTTGTCAAGGTAGAAGTAGAACAGCCCTGTGTCCTGAAATTTCATTTCATGTGTTGAATAAACAGTGATCCTGAATAGGAGAAAAAAATTTAAATTGACCATAATTCACTCCTGGAGGCCACAATGTTTGATAACCAGTATCATTGTACAGTTATAGAATAGGGAACATGCCCAACTTGCTTTTCCAAAGTCATTTGTTTTAATTTCCCTCTAAGTAGATTAATTAGGACTTCATTAAATTAGGAAACTTAAAGATTAGTTACAAGTACCTTGATTTTTTTGGAACAAACCCTGCATGTTTAAAACAAAACCTGAAAAAAGTCAAATTATACCATGAGGACAAGGCAGTCAGTCGCATGTAATAATCATAACCAGCATATTAATAACCAGTTTTTATATTAGCGCACATATCAAAAGAACTCTCATATTATTACATTTGCTTCTTCAAAGTATAGTCCAATTTAGTCATTAGTGTACCTCGCAATCTGGTGAACAAAGTAAGTACCTGATTCTTAACCAAAAGGTATCATGTGACATACACAAGAGATTCCACCAATTCCTGACTTGTACCTTTAACTTCCCCCTCATATGGTATATGGTAAAGTCTGCACTAGAGACATGTGGCCTTGGCAGCCAGATCTTATCACAATTTCTTTAGTGTGAAACTGTCTGGGAGTATTAACCCAACAACCTCCCAGGTGGGATGCCAATCCATTACAAGGTTCCCTTCAGCATTTCATCGCGCTTCTCTGACAATTTGCCAGTATCCATTTATACTCCTAACTGGGGAGAAACACTTTGAGAGTGTTTAGCTCCCAAGAACACAACTCAATATCCTGCTGAGTCTCACAGCTGGACCTCTAAACCCCAGAATCCAGCACAGTTACCATAATACAACCCCCATGTCTCCCATTTCAAGTGATATGGACAACTGCATTTACATGAGTGAGCAGTCAAATGTGAAAGTCTTGCTTTTGTTATTGAGCTCATAGTCACACACATAATGGAAATTATTAATAACAATTTCACTTCTTCATGCACTTACTCCATCTCTTGAATGGAACAAGATAAAGCTTTAGAATCTCCATATTCACAGCTCCACTGAACAGTCTCTCCTTCTTCAATGTTCACCAACATCTTCTCAAATCCTTCATCTGTGATCTACAGGAAATTGGTTATTATATTAGATAACAAATTTTTTCAACATTTTTCAACATTAATTCCACTCTTATCCATCGATTGTTATTTTTAAGTCTCTCCCCTTTTAAAAATTGTTGTTTTTAAATGTCACGCTTATACTTGTTTAGCTGCAATGTTTCACTTCCTGTATGAATTTATACGTGTACATGGTATCACATTGGAATAAGAGGTTTATTAAATATGATCAATCATTCTGAGCACCTTGATGATGTTCATTGGTTTCTCCACTACTTGTACCTTGAAAGGCAATATCACAAAGCTGTGCTCTTTAGACTCACTGAAATTGGAAGGGAAGAAAAAAGCTCAATACTGAAGGAACATTTTTAATTTTAGATCAGCTATGATTCGCCAAAGAAAATTACCTTCATATTAAGAAATAGTGGAATTTTTTGGCTTTTAACCAAATTTTGTTGTGCATTAATCCTATATGATGCTGTGTCTTGATGTCATTCACAGTAAAAATGAAAAGAATAAGAAAACAAGGCTTAACAGATGAGTTTCATTTTATATCTATGTACCTGATAACTGATTGACCCATTTCTTCTGAATTGTTGCTGTCCAGCAAGTATATTTTTATAACACAAACCTAATAAAGGTGAATTGTCCTTTCCTTCCAAAGTGCACCTTGAAAGATCTATCAGATGTCAGATCACCACTGTTGTATCCACCAGGAACACGATTCAGTTCCGTACCACAAACCTTCAAGTTACAAAATCCAAATCATAGTTATCCAGCCATTTTCATAACAAAAAGTGCAACAAATGATAGTACTGCCTGCACCGAATACCTCTTGTAAAGACAACTTGTCATAGCCTGCATTGCAAAGTAGCTAACATATGTTTCTCTAAGGTCCTGGTAACTTTACCAGCCAGAAATAATATTTTCTCAGATTATCTTATTCTAAAAGTCAATTCAGTTTTTAATTCCCACAAATGTTATTTTTGAAATTCAAAATTTGAGTCAGAAATATCTCAGGACTACAAAAATCAGCTGTATTATTGATAATGATTAGGTTACCTGAAATATTCTGAAACCTTTAGATGAGTTGTCTACATTCCATTCAAACGAAATGCTCTGGAAATATACACAAAGAGTAATCACCATGGTTATAAAATAAAAGGGACACAAAATAAAAAAAGAGTGAAGCCGCCTGGTTTAAGTGGGTATAGATCTTGTAATACTTAGTTGTACTATGAATTGAAATCTAACCATTCAAATTCTTCACATCTTCCAAAAAGAATTCGAATTAAAACATAAAACTCAAAACAATAGTAAGGCAAAGGTTAACATAATTATTCAAAAGGCCAAGACGTAAACAAACTACGGCCAATATCTATTACACATAATTAGCGCACAGCTTAACAATCTCTAATTTAATTAATTCTTTAAATTTACAATCATTTGCGCTGAATTTTTCACCACCACCGACCGAAGCAGCATAAACTTTTCTGGTCAGTATTACCTTCATTCACTCCTTTTGCAAATAAATGCTAATGAGAGTAATGAACGAGAGACGAAAAAAAATATTCAGCTGTTCACACTTCACTCACCTGTCCTTGATACAGGACAAGTTCCTCTGGATGAAACCCCTCGTCCGACACACGAACTGGAACAACAGCACCTTCTGTATAAGTAAAATCGAAATATTATCACTATAAGCGTACGAGTACAACAAGTTTTGCAAGACCAAGAGACAAACAAAACATCAGCATCTGAAGAAAGTTTCCCTTCGGTTCATTTTTTCAGATGGTTCTAATTTTCACGCTCCAGGGCGCAGCTAAATTATCCTGATTATCGGATAAACTTCATTGTACCTATAAAGGAAGCATTTTTTCCATCCATTGTTGAAGTAATAGAGTTCTTTGAAGGCTTGGGGAAAACAACTCCCATCCTGAAAGAAAGATTACGGCGCCATAACAGCTAATTTCTCCCTCTGACTCTGACGGCTCTCACATCTGCTGGCCATTTCAAGTACAACTTAGCAAACCAATGCACCATACCGATTCAATGATTCGTCAACTTAAATATAACATTAGGCGAGAGCAAAGTCTCCAAGGATGCCTCTACGCTACCATAATTCATTTGCTGCTTTGTTGGATGGATCGATTCGCTGAAATTACGGTTAATGGGTAATACAACGTTGACAAAAGCGAGATTTACATATTTAGTTTCCAGGCTGAATGCTAAACTACCTGACGGGGGAGGGGTTTGGAGGCAACGTTTCTTCCGGGGTAGAATCAAGTCGAATTGCCTGCGATTGGCTTGTGGTTAATTTTTATGTTATATTGACAATGTATTTATATTATCGACGGGTCAAACTAGGTTCTTTAAATTCTCTTGAAAAGTTCTCATATACTGAAGGAAAAATAAGGAATGAGATAAACCTATCTCACATGACATATTTTAGGGTAGTGGATTTCATGTTTGTTTGCTTTCCTTAGAACATACACATTTACAGTAGAAGGGCCACTGTTAAACCAAACTGCTGTGAAAATTACACAGTGTGTTTGACTATAGTAATGAAAAATTAACTTGGAAATTTATCACCTACTTACAACAGAAAATATTTCAACAGGTTTTACAAACAGGCTTTTAACAGTAGTCGCAAACAAAAATCAATAGAACATTATGGCATATTTAAGGCTTCAGATTGAATTTTTTCTTGCTGTTAAGAGTTTTCCGAGTAAGCTTGAGCAACTATTTCAAAACAATTTAATATCATATTTATGCCTTGTTCACAGATATTTAAGTAACAAGCTTGGCGATCACTATGTTTAATTCAAAATGCTGACACTAAACTGACAAGACAGGCGAGTAAGAGCTCAAAATTTGCTGTATGCAACTAGTATTTATCAATTCTTGTCTGAAGAAGTATTTTAATCGTCAGATGTCTCTCGCAACAACAAGAAAGAAGTGAAAGGATAGTAACGCTATTAGTGTGGTACTAACTCTCGTGTCCGTTTAATAAGATAACCTGGTGATAGGCGACTTTCCGTGCTCTTTGGGAAGTGATTACGTAAAAATGATATACTGATATATATATATTTTTTAATTCTTCACTTTGAGATGCCGCCAATTTGTAATTTGAAATTCAATTGAAGTCTCAAGTTATTCATGATACGAGTCTCAATTTCAAAACAACCCTTCTCTGGCTGTAGGTTCCTTATAGTTTATTTAGAATAATTAATACAGAGAATATCTCACGAAATATTTCAAACTTTCTTTTTATTATCATAGTTTTATTATCATAGTTGACGCTGAATCCATTGAAAAGTATTTGAGTCAACCGAATAAACATATCATTTAATGCAATGTCGTGCGGTGTAGTGACTATCAAGGGCCAGTATTGTGTCCGTGATCGATCAGTCTCCCTATTCGGTTTATTTTCTCGCCTACGCATCTTCATTTAACAAATAAGAAAATGCAAATACTGCTGGGTCCACTAAGAAATTAATAATGCCTCAGAGGCTGATATCCGTGTTTGAGATATGAGTCACGGTATATATTCGAGGCAAAATACTGGGCCGACGAGAAATATTCTATCCACGTACGTAGTGATAATTCAGAGGAACCATAAGGAAATGGCACTGCAAAGAAATGGAAATAAATATGAACTTTTTAAGCATTGAAAGGTTTTGCAAGGTAAATATGTTCGCGTGTTTTGTTTTTCCTTTTCTTTTCTGTCACAAAATATTGGTAAAAAGCTTATGGTAATTCAGTGTCGATGTTGATTCGCTTTCTTCTTCTTTTTTTTTTTTTCAAAGGTTGCCAAAGTGAAGGCCCTCCATGATGTGGAGATATCAAGCGACTGACGGATCACTCGCTCACCTTTCATTTGTTCAACCAGAAAAAGTAAATCTAAAAGGTGAGAAACTAAACCCAAACCTTGTCTACGTTCATCTTGGTTGATTATATTTTCTTTGAAATACAACGTGACAGCTGCCTATCATATCTCAAATTTCCTAAAAGAAATATCGGTATTCAGTTATTTTCTTGGGGAAAGAAATTTTACGTGAAAAGTGAGAGGTTATTGGACTAAGAAAAACTTAGAATATCGTATCTATAAAATCAAAAGAAAAAGAAAAAGAATCGATAAAAAAGATTATCGATTAAATTCCCAAGAAAATTCCGGTTTTCAATTATTCGTGCTTCAATGTCCTTTCTGCTGCTGTTCAGCGCTTATAAATTTCCATACGGACGGTTTTTAAATCTTAAAATGTTACCCACGCATGTGGTCAAACTGACTTTTACTTTACCGTGGAACGGTAAAAGTTTGGAAATGAAGCAAACTAACAGTAGCACTGCGAGAACACAACACTTTCTCGCCTGACATGGAACAGTAAGCTACGAGTATTTTTCTTAAAAGACTCGATGCTCAACTCCGGGTAATTAAAATTTGTCTACACACAAGCACCTAGAGAAGAAAGTAATTCCAAACCTTTACGCAGTGGAGAGCAGGTTGGAACCAAAATAGAAAAAAACAAAGTTTTTTTTTATTAAATCATTTTTGCTCACTCTTGTTTTATCCTATATATGATGAAATATTATCCACTCCAAGCCAGAGTAGGGAATTTCTTGACGTACACCAGTTTTCAAAATGTTCCATCAAGTCCTAGTTATCACAGGGAACTAAAGTTTACCATTCAGGTAGTCTGTAATCTCTTCTGCCATAGATAATTTTCCTTGGCATTGTTTTTGTTTGCTGATCGGAAATGATTCTTTTTTTCTTGGTGAACACGTGGTTTATTGTTCATTCAACAATATCACCCTATGCACATAATCCCTGAGCCGTTTCTGAGGTTTTTCGGCGGTCTGAATAATTCTGTTTAGGGCTGTATACAAGATAAATTGGTCCAAGAGGCACACTTACAGAGTATTCGACATCAGTGGCTGTATTGAAGCTGAAGCATGTTGTATTCCATATCTGTGGACTAATACAGCTCTGAAGAAGTTTGATTCTATACTTTAAAGTGTAAGACTGAAGTAAACTGAACAGCTAACTAAATTCCATTTTTTAAGAAATGGTTCATGAAGTTCTGAAAATAAAATTAAACCAATGTGAATCAAAATGCTGAAACAATACTTTTGTCTACTACACCTAATACAGAAATTGAATCGTCCTAAGTAGATCATAAGCGTCAAAACAGACGAAATATTTTACATTGAGCAGTTCAACAAGATTTCAACAACTGACTACTTACTACAACAGCAATTTTCTGAATCTTCTTACTGTATTTACAATGCTTAAAATTACCTCTGTTTAAAACATCCTTCAAGCTAAGAATACAATCAGAAAAACCATATTTACATCGGTACACAAAGTTTTGGGTTAAACATGGCTTAACTTACTTTACCCACAGTTTTAAGGTAAGTTCGTTTAAATACGTGAGCCACCAAGTCATTCAGTTGTCAGGTTCTTTTTACAGTTTTTTAAGCACATTACTTGGGATAACACGAGGACAAAATAGTTCTAACAGAGGCAAATGGGAAACTATCGTTCGCTAGATCCACCCAGCCATTCCTCTTTGTTGTTTTCGACTCGTGCCACATGTTCATTGTTCTTCTTCACGCATGCGTTCAGGAAAGGGAAACAAACTGCGCATACTCAGGAGAATTCTTCGGGGGATATTGCTCTTTTTGAAAGAAGTTGGAAAAAGTTTGGAAACTTTTTTCACAAAATTACACTCCTAAGCATGATTCAATTTGGATCGGTTGAACCAATGCGAATTCTTCGGAAACGCTGTTACGTTCCCCTGAAGAAACGCTGTCTTTGTTTGGGAACACGCGTTTAGTAACATTAGTCACTCGGTTAAAAGGGATTACAGATGTTTACATCTCTATCTAAAAATGGTCACTAGCAACAAGGCACCATTCAAGGAGGAGCAGTTCAATTGAAGTTTGATTTTCTTAGCACTTTACGTTACCCGTTACCATGCTTTCATGAATTTCCCTCACTTTGAAAAATTAGCATCTTCTTTTCTAGGCAAGAAATTGAAAAAATTTTAAGAGAAAGGTAATTGCAAACCAATTGTTTCATTATTTTCACCGTTCTCTTTTGAAAGCATCATGAAAACGTTTTAACGACAATCACAAATTTATCCAGTTATGAATTTTCTCTGTTCGTATTGCATTAGCGATTTGCGGCTTATTTTACACTTAACTCAGCACATGTTTGAGAATAATCGCCGGAGAACTGGCAAAGTTCCTTTGGTTGAAACAAGGCCTAAGAAGGCGAATAAATAGTGAAATATTGTTGTCTACTCCCATACCGAATGAACAACATGCTAAGCGTATAAATAATTAAAGAAATCTTGTGGATCACCAATAAAAATTCATTTGCGGAAACTGAAACCTGCCAGTTTACCCCGCAACTCACCGCACAGAATATATAACCCGCTCACATGTCTTCGAAAAAAATCATCGTTTGGCCAAATTCAGTTTTGGAGAAATTTTTCAAAGTTGAATCATCCAAAATTATGTCGATAAGTAACAATAGCCCCTTCCGGTCAGGTGTTTTCTAATTTTAACGCTTAGCTAAAGAAACTTGTGTTACTTAGTGTATTCGTCATCCTGGGGAATAGATTTTGAATATTAAGCAGAAAACCTGTCACGTACTCTCCCACTACGCTTGCGCACATTGAATATTGGGCAATTCTTTCTGTGTGACCGGCAGGTCAGAAGGTGTTTCATAAGTAAATCGGCTGAACTGCATAAGAAACTCCTCTCAAATAGCTCTTTAATTTCCGCAGCTCAAATGATGTTTCTGCCTATCATAGCAAATTGGAAATGTTATCTTGGATGGAAATGTTTATATGCTCGTCTGGTAAGTTTCTTTTCCATTCTATACTTTTTGGTTGATTCTGCTGAATATGCAGCCTACGATATGCGATTTTTTTCGTTTTTGAGCGGATGTCGTTTCCATTTCTAACCATGTCGTGGTTCTTTCTTTGTTTTACATCATTATCCAAATTCATCAGTTCCTTCTTCTTTCCGTTTAAGTCTGCTGGGCTTCATCAAGGATCTACGCGAAAGCAAACTGAATGGTTCATAGACTATCTCGCGAAAAACTCTGCAATCTTAAAAAAGATTCGGCGCGGTCTCTCTCAGTACCATCGGCACCGAAAAAGATTTAAGTTTTTCTCAGTTATATTTGTATTCGGTTACAGAACTAGGACGTAAGAAGTTATTCGAATGAACTTTAAGCAAAAATGGAGAAATAACCAGTCATTCACGACGACTGATTTTCTCGACTTAATCCGAAAAAGCAGAACATAATAGTGATAATAAATAAAACCAATGCTTTCTGTATCGCATTAATTTCGTCGAGAAATTTTTTTTTTCGTGGGGGAGGGGACGACAGTACGTTATAGTATCCTCAGGGGCTGGTAGTTGTAGCTTAATGTCAGTCTCAGTTCACTATTCCCTCGGTTTCTTGTCTTTGCAAATTAATTAAAAGGAAACAGATGCAGTTTTCTCCATTGGTGCTTTTCCGCCATTGGTTGAAAATTTGACAGCATATCATTATGCTGTCAGTAGCGAAGACCACTTTTGTTTTGAAGGCAAGCATAATCTACGTGATGGTAGAGTTGACGTCTGTGTGCCAAACGAAAATAACTACCAATCAAAGAGCGAGAATTCGGTAACTAATTACAATTATTTATCAAATCTTTCTATCGCAATATTGTTTTGAAGGAGGCCCCGTAAAGTGCTGAATGCACCTGCTCCCAATCGACTAGAGAATATAAATTTTAGGGACCAAAAAATTCCCCTTCTCCTTCAAATTTAAGTTCGTAAAAACAGAAACAAAATAATCTTCGCTGGGGATTTACCGCTTGAAACGGAAGGAACGGCCTTTGAATGAAAAATGTCAGGCTTTGACCACTAACGAATGATATATTTCTTTGTTGAAGTTTGGAAATTTTATTCTGTTTTGTCGGTGAGTTTATTTACTATTCGCACCACCGAGAAGCTATGTTCCTATGAACTCCAACGAAGGCAACATCATGATAACATGGCCTAAGATGTCCGAATAAAATACTGAAGTCATGTAAATGTCTCTCGGTCAAAAACGTGAACAATAAAATAGCGATTGGGGTATATTATCGATTGAGCTTAGTGAATATCTTTTTTATTTATTTCACAAACACTTTCTGCCTCGCAAAGTTCGGTGTGTATGAGACAGAATGGACAAATTTGTTTCATGCCATGTTCCTATTTACGTATCAGTCCCTTTTAGTTACAGTATGTTATGCTCTGCTGACCGCTTCTAGCACAAATTCTACGCAAGTATAAAACGAATTCAATATTCTTAAGCAGCCACTAAGACACAACTAAAGGAGAACCTACCATGAAAAATAAAACACACATTCTCGGTCACCGAAGAGCACATTGAACAAAACTTCGATCACCCCAGCAAAGTAAGTTTAGTAAAGTTTACCTTAGTGTATGAGTAAAATTCTGTCGACTTTCAACTATAACTTTCTGTTAAATATTGCTTTTAATGGAGACTCGAGGGATCTGGCGCCTGTTTGTTATTTGAAAGATTTTTCTTGTCGATTTTTCAGCATTTTTAGTACGCATGGTCGATCGAGTTGTCATACAAAACGTTGAGCTTGCAACTTTAGGAGTGTTTCTCTTAACACAGTTTTGAAACTTCAGAGAACTGCAGCTCAGCACAAGAAAAGCACCCTAGTTTTTCATTTCGCAATTTTGAACGTACATGTTGTATGTAAATTCAGGTATCGTTTGGGAAATAAATACTCCAGTGAGTTTGTGATTCAATGCTTTTTCAGAGAAGTTTTGGAACATGTTGAGATCATTTAAGCTAAATTTTGAGCTCCATGTTTTACATTGATAATATTTTTTCCTTGGGATGATAATATTTACTTCTGCACAATGCAGAATGGAAATGACAATCTAAATTTCTACAAAGTTTGGATTTGCTATTTGGCTTTTTTTATAGCTGGCTCACAGTTCTTCGTTGTTATAACTGAAAAGCTCAGAGAAGACTTCAATAAACTTCATACCTGAATGTCTATTTATCAGTCCAAATTTGAGAGGAAAAGCTTGCAAAATTGTAGTGTATCCTGAGATGAGACTCTAAGTCTTAAGCCTTGGCTTTTGCACTGTTGACACAACTTAGCACAACACCTACATGTGTAGAAACCTATCCAAAGAAACAAATGGTCAGATTGCCGAGATATTCACCCTCAGCTCGTGAGGCATAAAGGTTAAATCAACATATTTATGGCTGTTAATGAATCTGCAACTGAAAGTAGAACGATTGTGGGTGAAAGGACACTAAAAGTGATGTAATCTTCAAGAGCTGGGCGCCATTATCTTCTTTTGCGGATGATCATTAAGATCGGAAAAACATAGTTTTCTTCGCATGTTCATAATATTTTTGCCAGCTCTTGTAGGGTTTTGAATCTTATTTTGCTTGTACGATGTGTTGTTGATCTAGGAAGCCCCTACCTATGCGGGGAAATCGGAAGCCATAGGAAGCAATTCCTGTTACTTGATGTAAATACACAGTTGTCTTCCGCAGCAAACTATTTTGCGTAAGCGAGCTCTGCAAAAGCAACCCTGTGTTTACGCACAGCAAAACAGAGAGTCGTTTTCAAACACAAAAAAAGTAAGGCTGAAAGCTCTCTTCCAGTCATTTAATTAAAAAAAAACTTAGAAATAAATACAACAACGAAATACCTCGGCTACTGTACTTCCTTCCACTGGTAAGGTTCAAAGAGAATGAAGCAGTCGACGCCATCATAATAAGATGCTAAAAGCTTTGCCCAGTTTTAGTGCGTGATCTACCAAGGAGGGAGAATGACTCCACAGTGAAAAAAAAAACAACATTGAACAAAGGTAGTAGTTAAATTACGTTCACAGGATAGTCGCCATTTTGAGTTAGAAAGAAATGGAAGAGGATTTTTTATAACACGTTTAGCACAAGATCATCTGACACTATAAAGGCACATGACTATGGAAATATCTGCGTAGGAAATAATCCATCACATATCAGCTCGTTTGCCGAGCTTGGGTTTTCTTCCTCCGATTAGATATTTAAAAATGTTGAAATTTGAATCGAGCTTTCCTTTATGAGATGAAGTCTAGTTATGCAGGTAACATCCTCATTTTGAGGAGAAATAAAACTATGCTGGGTACTAGCTATGATATCAGTTAGCCATAGCCGGGCGCCGGATGGGTCATAAACCAAAGGCAAAAACGTTTTCACGTTAAAAGCCTTGGCACTACTTGTCCACTGGCCATGAAAAAGCTTTAATGTTAAATGGAATTTTACCTACATTCATAACTGAACCTGTATAAGACACTTGCACGGGAAAGCTATAGAGATCAAGAAAGCATAGTTGCATAATCCTTAGTGCTTTATTGCAAACATTGAATTAGTCTAAGACATAAACACTACTGCTTAGAAGAACTTTCGCTGTTTATGTTGCCCTTTGTATATGTATTTACAAGCCCATAGTAATGCTGACTCCTACGCAAATGAAATATCTCAAGTGTTCATTTGGTCTTCCGGGTTAAGAATTGTCCTTGGCTGATTATAGTGTTCTTCACCATCAAGTTCGCGTTCCAAGATCATATCTCGACTTCTGCATTCATGCACTCGAACTCAAGGCCTGAAAACCACAGCCCAAGGAATGTTGTGCACTACATGACATATTTAAATGCTATGCTACACAACAACAGTCCATGCCGGGGAAATGAATTGATTGAGAAAGTTTACCCAAAGAACTGAAAAGTCTGCAGCGAAGTCACTCTTGCACAACCACAAGAGGATGAATTAAACGAAAGCCTTAGCTTCAGTTCACTAAATACATCGATTCTCGCAGCGCATCCTTCTCACACTTTAATAACCTCAGCACCAGAAAGCGATATCTACAAAATTTAGCCACGCTCTTAGCACACTGTATTTATTTTTTGCTCTTTAAATCTAAGTAAAAAATAGAATCTTGCACGACAAACATTCCTTAAAACGAAACCGAAAAATGGAATCAAACAACAGCTTGGAATTACGGCTTGAACCGTGCAAAATTAAAATCCTTTCTCTTTCGCGATGAAGGATCGATCATTGATCGAAGTCATAGTTCGTTACGCGCCAGAGGCATTATCGAATAAAGCTCACAAAGTGCGCTGCTTATGCTACTTTTCCGTTTGATTATTGGCGATAAGAAACAGAGTAAGGCGCTTTGACCTCTGTAACGCCTATGGAAAATGTCAGGGAGGAACAAAAACATCTCTAAGGTGTTCGCAGTGTTGCTGCTGTTGGTATCTGCACTCTAACAACAAAGTAACGTTGAAGAAGCACTGATGGATACTTTTTTGTGAGTAAACTGTAAATTAGATGGTTGTTAGAGTTTCTTTGCTACTTCTGCCAAGCGATGGTTCAGGCAGAGAACAGAACGTAAGCAGCTACCTGTTCAACGATATCTCCATGTCAAATTAGTGCGCGGAATGCAAAAACCAAAGCAATGATAACAGCCCTTATGGCAATTCCAGCTTCTTCCTCTCGTCTTCTCCGTTGATGATAACTAAGTTCAACCTTATCCCCGATTTCAGCCAGCTGCTCTGCGACTTCGGAGACGATGAGGGAGTTGTTCAAGTCGCTATTAGGGGCGACTTGTGTCGGATGTTGTTCGTAAGGACCAACAGAATGTTCTTTGCACATCTTTCAAGAAGTTCTGTGAAAAACTGAGGACTACTGACCACAAAAGAAGGTATGTTAACGTTCAACAGCGGTCGACTGATCGGCGGAGTGAACTGCACGCGGCTTCAACACGTGGAAATGACTCACCGGCAAAGCTTGCGATGCTAGGATGTCGAAAAATGTCACAAAGCCGGTATACAGCGGCGCTGAGTGTAAAATGATGCTAAGGACTTCTGGCTTCAAAACTGCTTCGAAGGAAAATGGTCTCTAGATTTGGTCAAGATGAAAAAGCGAATTTTTGCAATTTGCAAATCGAAACACCAGCAATCTCACACGTTTGTCAAAATGATGGTCACCTATGCTGTTGGTTCATCCATGCTAAATATTTTTCATTGCGTGTGTTTTGCTTACGTAATTATTCATCCGCTAGATGCTGATTGGCTGTTGGATGCTGGAAGGGGTCGATGATTGTAAGAGGCAACGAATGCGCAGAGATATCACGAACAAGATTGGACGGGAAATATTAATTGTAATGACTTTCATAAAAGGGATTTTTCAGGAATTCCCCTTTTGAAATGTGGAAGTTTAAAAAAAGGCCCCTCTTCGCTATAGGATGCCTTTGCGCGTTCAAACGAAAATATTCCCGTGACATAGGTGCGACTTTCAAGCGATGTGCAATCGTTTCACCAGCATGCAATGAACTGAAAATGGTTTTTGAGGAGACCTTTTGCTTGTTTTAACATTTGGTTTTCAATAATAATTTCCGTTGCGGCTTTAGTATAGTAAATAAAAGTACAAAAGAGCCTTAGCTGGCTTCATAAGACTACAAAATAAAGAAGGAAAGACTTTTACGTAAAGGACGCGGTAACACACGCCATGGTTGAATTATATTGTTGTTTGACCGGACACTAGACAAGTAGGCTGCAAAAGCGCTTATAAGAGTAAAAATTGGGAGCCTCACGTCTAACACGTGCACGAATTCTCCTGTTGTATCTACCCTGCTGTGAGTCCGCCGCCGGCAAGTGCTTCACATTATATGACATGAATTATTTAAACGGCCAATAGACAAGCACGTTATTCCGAAGGTGTTCGTGCGAGGAAAGTTTTTCTCTTCCCGGATGTAGAGAGAGCTTGTGATTCCAACACAGGATCATGTATCAAAATGTAGACACGAACGGAAAGAAACATTTTTCTGTGATTCTCTAAAACGCTCGAGGCTTCTTTCAAAAGTCTTACACTATAAAATGAAAGGTAATCGACCCCTCGGGGCTCTAGCGAAATTGAACTGATTTTGATTAGAAAGGAACCACTTTCCTAACAAAATAATCAGCCAAGTATGCGGTAATCTAAAAATAATACTTCTAACATCAAAAGCTATTAAGGGAGTTAATTTGCATTTCGCCTGATGTTGCAGGAATCTTTTATTAGATCTAACTGGTGCAGGAATAAAAACTGTGTTGTGAATGAAGTTGGAAAATAGATAAATGTCACTTCTCCTTCGATTTTTTTGCAAAGTTTTTTTCTTTTAAATGTATTTGGAAACAAATGGTATACATTTTTGCTAACTCACTTGACCTATGTCCTCAATTTGTCGCCTTCAACATGGATTATACTCCAAAATCGGTTTCATGTTCGTTAGCCAATTTACCCGCTGCAGAGGATATTAAAAAAAGTAACAATAATAAATAAAAAAAGACTCTCTGTACTCGATTTTAATGAATATTCGTATCCATTCATTAGATAAGTATTATTATCCTACGGGATGTGCTTTGTAAGAAATCAATCGGAAGAAAATGGCGTTTTGTCGGTTGTTATTATAAAATGGACAATAAGTGTTAAATATCATGGATACCGTAATTCTTCTTAATTTAAACTCTCAGGTGGCACTTAACCAATTTTTTTATAAAGCGGTTTGCATTAATTTTCTGAAGAAGTCTATGTGTAAACGATCTATTGGGAAAGTATTCTACTTTTCACAAATGTCTGATAAGCAGGCTGCGCCTCAAAGACTTTCTTACTACCATGATGCTGTATTACAACTTTTGAGAGGGGCAATTAGATTTGTATTATTCTAGTTAATTGTGGAAAGAAATGAATTCCTCAGTATTTAATCGCAAATTTCTGACATCTCGCTTATCCGGTAATCGATATTAGAATAGGATTTTGTTAATTAATCATGAGACCTTTGAAACTAATGAAGAATACAGGCTGATGTAATACGCTCTACGTGTAATTAAAAAAGAAACCAATAGCGCATTTATTTCATTTTCTCCGTGTTTGTTTTCAAATTCAACTTTTGCAGCTCATACACAATGACGCATTTCGCGCCATATAAATAATTACCCAGCCGATTACTATTAAACACAACAAACAAACTAAAACCAAAAAACATTATTACACCAGGTTCATTGCAGACAGCTTGGTTTAATTGAAATATTCTGCCACTCTCGTGTAACTAATTCATTTCTATAAATTATGCAAAGCGCACGCTGTTAAGTCTTAATGTTTGTACAACGTTTGTCTCTCTTTGCCGAGCTGTTAAATATTTAGAACATTTGAGCAAAAGTGACAGGGTGCTTTGATTGTAATATAATGGGGAACAAGTAAGGTATATTAAATTGTCATGAAATGTAATGATTATTGAACTGTTTACAAATCATGATTCCTTGTGCTGCCTTGTTACTTTCATTCTATATTCACTGTGTCTGTAAAAAACATTTTTTGTTTTTCTACTAGTAACCAAAACACAAGCTACTGAATGCAATGCATTAATTGTTTCGAAACGAGACCTTAAAACAGAATTGAACGAAACAGAAAAAATTTAAAATATCAACGCTTGTTCAACGGTCAGTTATCACCCAAGCCAGTTTGAATATCAAGAGACATTTCAAATTGTTTTAACGTATCACAGGAAGTTTTACAATTATCATTAGATTGTATTTTGCAATCTTTCAAACATAACAGCCAGAAAAAAGTTAAAAATCAAGGATTTAGAAGGAAAATGATATGGTTACCTTTAAAAAACTATTTTTATGGCTAAGGAAACGTTTCTGCTAGACTTTTTAGACCATTTGCTGATAAAATGAATTATGTTTGTTTCCATCACATGCACATCAAAGCCGATAATCATGGTTAGAGAGCAGTTTGCCAGCAAGAGGGCTTATAGTGAAAGAAAAAAAAATAGGAACAAAAGACCGGTATTGAAAAACTTTTTATTATGAGACAGCCATTTGTAAATTTGTACGAAGTTGAATCTTATATATCTCCTTATCGACTGTACTTATTCAACGCTCAACAACACTATTTTTTAGTGTGACAACAATCCATTATGTATCTTACACAAACAACTTAAAAAATAGATGACTTTAATCTCACTTGTTTCCACTCTTTCTTTGTAGGTTTAACAAGAGAGGAATTCAGTTTTAACCCGAAGTCTTATTCCATTCAGGTAAGAAAAATATAAACTTAATATATATTTTAGCCATAATACCTAGAAACATCTCAATAAAATCAGAAGTTCCTTTGTTCTTAAAGATCTATCGAAATCTCAAGGAGCTCGTAGTATTTTCTATTCATGTGTTCGTCCTGAGTAATGGTGGTTGGAAGGTTTAGAATTGTAGAAATTGATACTTGTACAAACCAAGAGATTATATTCGTTTATATTTTCTTGTACAAATTCGAATTATATCATGTATATTTCCTTCTATCATAAGATTCTATATTATTGATCCGTGAGGTTTACCCAGTTTGTGGCAGAGGTTTACCATGTTTCCCCTGCGGGGAGGCAAGAGGATATTAAATCCATTGACATGCTATTTCTTTTTCTTGTATTCTATAGTTCAATAATGTATTCCACTTCAATGGATCATATTCAAAGATGCCCACAACCCACAATGGCATATCACAATGGCATATCACAATGGCATATCAATGGCTACCAAACTGAGAGTAGAACATAACCTTTACCTGTCCCTTTGTCCACACCACTTTTGGTTTGTTTATGTTCAAGATGAAGGGGAGTTGCTCTGGGTACAAAGCTGTAGGAAACATGAAATACCACCAAAAAGACATACTTCGTTATTTCATCCCTTTATATTGTTTTATTTGAACCAGTAACTCGAGAGACAATTTACTAAACAGGACAGGCTAGAAACGCCAATCTCGACATGACTTGAAAATCCGTAACGATACGTTATGTTACGTTACGTTTCGTTACAAAACCTCCCACGCACAGAAAATTACACGAATATTTCTCGCGCGTAGACGGCGTGGCCAGCTCGCGACATTGGCATTGGGCATGAAATAAGCTTATTTACTTTTAGAACAAAGATGGGCAAAATATGCATTATCATCAAATATGTTATTGATTCTTATCCCTTTGTACGTGCACCTTCAGATCACGTTATAACCGAACCACCAATCAATGGAAAGTCCAGTGATGTCAGAATTTTTTTTAAAATTACAATCCATTTTGGAGATCAAAAAATTTTAGTCCCCTTTTCATGTCAGACATGTTGTTGTCTACTGATGGTGAAGCCTCTACGTATCAAATGCATTAACTTACGGCAACATCAAGCCAAGGTCATCTGTATGGTGATGTTTATCGAGTAAATATGTTTAAAATAATTTATTTCTATCGTGTTGGGTAGGATGGCGGCTAACAGACAATCTGCCCGGAGCAAACGTTAAAAATAAAGCAAAGTCAACAACATTAAAAACAGTACATGGTATCGTTAGATCAAAATAATAAAATTTTTCTAATAAAACTATTTTCTGAGGAAAATTATTCGTGCCTTTTTACCAAAACCAAATGCGTGCGTGTTTGCAATTTAATTAGAACCATGGTTTGTCTTGACTTTGCAGTTCTACTTATTATTACTGTACCGATGGAAGGAAAAACAGTCATTAATATTTGATTTGAAACACACTGTAATGGGCATGCGCAGTTAGACTGCATCGTCATTCCGCATCATTTGGTGTGAACGTGAGGAGAATTTTTTAACTTACATTAGTTTCTCGCTTGAATTTCGCAATTTTTGTCTATTTTTTTTTTATAGAAAACCGTTTTAAGAACTGTACGGTACTCAATCCCAATGGATAGTCCCAAATCACTTATTCGTTTCATTTTAGTTTTCAGCCCTATTCAAATCCTATTTTGTTAACTTGTTCCAATAACTGCACATAAATGAAATTTTCCACAACGCCGGATCACGAACACGGCACTATACCAGGCTAAGAAAAATATCATTGAGTCCTCCGTTGATTATTTTTATTCTTTAGGAGATTAAAATACACCACAACACAAGTTGTGAATCCTTGAAGCAAACATTAACACGAGATACAATACCGATATTGAATATTACTTGTTCTACAGGACTGGAACACGTGAGTGATGTAAACTTTAGCCCGAATCTTAAGTGAGATAAGAGCTGGACCTGACTCTGTAACCGAGGAATTCGTCATTGTATTACAACAAGAGTACAAGCTTGTAATTTGACACAAACCTGCGCAATTGCTTCTATTGATCCCCAAAAAAGTGTATCGTGTTGCAGGAATTATCCCAAATCGCTTCAAAACGGAAAAGTGAAAAGTGTGAGGAGAAACGTGTGAGTGAATGTGGTGCATTAAATAAAAATGATCTTTGAAATAGGAGAGTGCACCTGAAAAACTAAAGGAAAAGTATTGCATCCTTATTAGACGAACAAGCGCACTCCTTGAAAGGGTTACAGCCTCCATGTGCAAGACGAGAATAATGTCGGCTGTACCCCAGTATCCAACTGAGTTACTTGTTATGACTCGCTTCGCTTTGTTATTTGTGCTCAAAATATTCAACAATTTTAATTTTTAATGAAGAAAAAAGACGCAATTAGCGTCATTATGGTTTCCATTTGTTCCAGTTCGATTTCATAATTTTAAATTTACTATTGCAATAATACCCTTCAAAATTCGTGGTTTTATTCACAAAAATCCAACTGGAAAATAAATAAATACACGAGAACAAAAATTTACAAGTAGTGATCTAGCATCGGAACAAGAATAATATTTGCATATATTCACTGATTTCTTGTAATACAGAAATAAAGAGTTGGTCGTTGAATGGTTTCTTTTAATTTTTTCTAATAGGAGGTTGAAATGGTTTTCGTCGCGACTTAAAGAACTAGAGATGGACATGATGACAAAGAGAGTCCAGTGTGACCATGACGTTCAAACAACGTTTGTTTACCTCTTCTCCTTATAAGGGACTTTCTCGCTACAACTGTTTATAGTATTTACTATGCAAATAAGATTTAAGTCGTTCAGGAAAAGACTTTGTCTAAATTATGAAGTTTATTTCGACATATCAGTTTACATGTACATCGAATGTGAAGCAATATCCTCACTTTCATTTTAATCCGGTGAAATATTGGAAGAATATCAAGAATGAAAAGGTCTGAGGGAAAAAAGCCAAAAAGGGACATGTAATTGCGGCTCATCAAGTTGTGGTTGGAGTCTTGTATGATCGCTTGCTGTTCATAACAATATACAACGATTTAGACCATCTACAATGTTTTGTAGTTGTTTTGAGGATTTTACTGCATGATGGATCCTAGAAAATTTTTAAAACGTCTCGCAACAGAGCTCGGATTAATGAAAAATAACTCAAACGCACAGAAAAAGGCTGAAAAAGTTTCCGAACCTGCCGATTTTGAACATCGTGTTCATGTGGCTTTGGATGAGGATTCGGGGCGATACGTTGGTTTACCAATGCAATGGAAACAAATAGTCGGAAGGAAATCAGACGATTTTGCCGGTTCTGGAGATTCACATCCAGTGTCGAGAAGATCTCTCACGCAGAGAAACACCAATATACTGGATGACAACGCGCTTGGTCACACTTTGTCACAAAGAAACACGGGGAATTTCGCAATTTTTGCCGCTTCTTTAGAAACGCCGGGATCAAGAGCAAGTGTTGCGGATAACCAAGATTTAATAATAGAGAGACTAAAACGAGAGTTGAGAGATTACAAAGCAAGAAATCCGCATGGATTCCAAGAATTGAGGGAGGATGGACTTCTTTCAGGTGGACGTATTAATTATTCCTTACAAAATCTCGGTGATACAACGGTGACTCAGTTTTCGCTTTTAAAGAAAACAAACTCAAATAATACATTTCGAAGAAATACCAAACGGTTTGACGCCTTAGCCGAAGAGGATTACGATTTCCCCGAAAACAAGCGTAATTCAAGGAGTTATAATAATACGCTGTCATCAGCTGCAGTATCTGGATACAGCCAAGATGGTTCATCTTCGACAAAAAGACACGCAATCGAATCAGCGAATTTTCAACGGGTCCTGAAAAGATCGGAAAGCGAGGTGTGAAACGAAAAATTGGTCATGTTGCTTTAAATTTTGTTGACTTGAAAAGATTTGACTGGAGGTAATTATTGCTGTAAATTTTGGCTAGAGAACCCCAAAATATATTCAGTTATAACATTGCTTAATTTGTTCACATGGCAAAAAAAGGTCCCATTAAATTAGTCCTGAAAGAAAAAAAGCTTTGTTATCTGAGAGAATAAGGTCACTCAAAGAGAAAAAAAGAAAGTAACAGCGATGTTTTACTGTCCACCAATATCTTTTTTTGTGAATATAATAGCCAAGAGAAATACTAGACATATGCAAATATATTAAGAATAGAGCAGTAGACTTTGTCTGTCTTCCTGAGGCAAACATTATTTTAAACAATGAAAATTCAATCAATCAGTTTTGACTGATGTGAGGCAAACTTCTTTCTTGAAAGGCGGCTTAGCTTTAAACGACTTGTAAACATACTTCTTGTACACTGCAAATGTTGCTTTTATGGTGTCGCTTTTAAGCGATATTGTTTTACTTAAACTTATGTTCACTTAGTAGTATGTTTTAAGAGAAAAACAAAATTTTATGTTAATGTTTACGTTTAAAATATAAAAATTAAAATATATTCTAAAGAAAACTTAGAAGTGAAAATATTGTTTTCGTAACATATTATGAAAATGCAAATCCATTCTTAACAAGCCCTGATGTATTCTACGATTCAAAATAAACGGTCGATAAGCGCTCGAAGGCGTCTTTAGGATATTGTGGTCAGGACTGACAGTTCTAAAAGTAGAGCAGTATTATAGTACTTTACTTGGCACTTATCAAGCAAAATCCAGATTAGAGTTGATGTTGTTCAGGTTAATACCATAACTCGCAGAATTTGATGCGCAATTCTCTCTTTTGGCCGTCGCGTATTTTAATGAGGCGTGAGAATACAGTTTGTGAAAACAACCTCCAGATCAGTTCGTGTATTCTCGTCACCTGCTTCAGTTCTGATGAATACTAAAAAATTGCGAGCAGAGTGTACGAGCTAATGGGACTCACATCAAATAGTAAGAGGGAAGAAATCAATGGAATCCGGATAATCAGGGCAATTACAACATTCGAAAGAAAATAAAGAAACTATTAAAATTGACGCCAAATATCTGTGCTAATTTAAACCGTTGACTTACAAACGATGTTTGTCTCGACTCTGAAGACGACTTCCAGTCAATTTGTAGAAAAGTCAGCCGCAATTATGAACAACAGTCATTTTAGATACTCAGCCAACCAGGAGAAATCAGACTGTTGGGGGAGGGGGGGGGGGGGTGCACGAACTGAACTTTCTTTCAGAAAAGCTCTTTGCCACGAGTTGTTCAAATCAACCCGCGGGAGGCGATTCTAACGCTGTAGCACTAATATTGAAATTGCTTGCCTAGCAATTATTCGTTGCTATCAGAAATAACTGGAACCAAATAGAGGAATAATACAGCCACTCTGATAATCATTAGAGTAATTCTGAGTATTTACCCATGCCACTAGCATCCATTGTAATATCATTGCAGCCGCAAGTTTGGACATTAGGGATGGACTATAAGTTTCTTATAATCTACAAGATATGATAGCATTTCTAATTTCTTACCAAACCAGACTACTCGCTGTCTTTACTAGCACCTTTTACCTTGCACCCTATGAACGAACTGAACACGTGGAGCAGGCTAAGTTTCAACGTATTGTTTGAAACTCAGCCTGCTCCACACGTTCAGTTTGTTCACCAGGTGCAATAGTCACGCAGCGCGAATTCACGATGAGAAGTAGATCACATTATATCGGAGACACAGCCTGAGAAATCTGAGGCGCTCAGCTACCTTTCTGTTTCTCATCCAAATACTCTCGCACTAAAGAAGCATTGATTTTCGTGCGCGTAATGTGATGTACCAAGTCGCTCATAAGGAAAGAATAAGGAACTAAAACAATACAACGTTCGGTAAAGCATCCCACCGCCTAATAGTTGGGTTGCATATACTGGTAAACACTTAACCACCGGATAGCGATTTATCTAGCCTTTGAACAACCGAGGCCTTGCGGATAGCTCAAGGTTTAATTTTTTTTAAAAGTTTTGACGATTATTTCATTATCATTTCAGCCGTGACTAAACAGAAAAAAAAGTAAAGCCCGTGAAAAATAACTATGTCTTATTTCACATCATATTTTGCTATTTTGATTGAGGGATCATTTAACGCGAACGACTACGACAAATATTAAAGTTTTGTTACTTCCCTTTCAGTTTCTGCATTTTGTGTAAAACGTTTGTACTCATTGCGAGACCCTTCTCTATTTTGTTTTGGAAGAAAAATGAGAGAACCCAGATGTTAATTTGAAGATGGATTTGCTCGAAAAGAACACCACAGATCAGAAATCCTGATCCAGATTCTCCCAAAGGAACGCACCCAAAATGTGCCTCTAATGAATGGCGCTAATTAAAAAATCGTGCGCGCTAAAAACCCGTGCAGTTAGACGAGCCATTCAGGGAAGAGCTCAATAACCCACGACGAACGACTGCGACAAAAACTGAAGTTTTCTTACTTCCCTTTCAGTTTCTGCGTTTTGTGAAAAAACTTTTGAACTCTTTATGTGACTGCCAACAAAGTCAGGTTTCAACACGCGAACGCTTTAAGATTTATTTACATTACAGTTGATCGTGGTTGCTAAAAGAAAAAATAATTACAAGTTATTACGAAGTAGAAGCAATAGGAAAACGCAAAGCAACAGAGGAAATACAATCGGACAAGGAAAGACACTTACAAACGTTGTGTGACTTGCGAGCATGAAGAACGGAAAAACAAAAAGATGATCGCAGCGAATGAATCGATGTTAACCTAATGCACTCTGATACTCCAATGTTCAATTTTTTCTGAGAAGCTTTTACGAATGAAATTAAACAAAGCAGAATTATGCGAAAAAATCTAACAGAATACAAATCGCCGTGAGTGAAAAGAATACGAAAACAATAAGAAAAATGTGCGTGCAATAACACAAAAATATATTTATGAACGTAAAAGGAAAGAAATCTCTAAGCAGGAATGCTGCAGTAACACTTGCCACGCCCTTCTGTATTTTGTCTTGGAAGAAAAATGAGGGAACGTAGATGTTAATTTGCTGTTTCCGTTTGCGTTTACCACAACAAAATGTGCCTCTAATGAATAGTGCTAATTAGAAAAATCGTGCGCGCTAAAAACCCGTGCAGTTAGACAAGTCATTCAGGGAAGAGCTCAATAACCCACGTGCACGCATAAGTTTTAAAAGGCGCACTTTATCACAAGCTTAGAAAAATTCTACTTCAGTGATCAATTCTTGTCACAATGTTAGCCCTTACACAGTGTTTTCTCTCTTGGAAGCCCTCTTTCGTTTCTCGTTTTGTCAAACTTAACATCACGTATCATTTCTGGCAACGGACGGAAGCAGGTAAGTGTTTATCGACGCATATAGAAGCAAGCAAAACTGTGTAAACTAATTCTAAAAGAAGCTGAGCCATTTTCAAATTAAAGAAGGGCTCCAGGTCAAAGCTTCGTTTTATCAAATCATTTAATTCTTTCCAGTCGCTCCTTTTTCCGCCCAGAAGCTGCAAATAACTTAGCAGTAGGAATTCTATTGCGTAATTTTTTTTGCAAAATCGGCTTCCTTGAAATTCTTCTTTGAAACTGTTGTCGCGCGGAGTACCATTTCTAATCTTCCATCTTCTTTGCTGAAATTCCGCGTAAGCAATGTAGCGAAAGCGTGGTTCGTGCTCTTAAATTTTAGTTAGTTAAAAGTTTGAAGCGAAACTCAGTGTTTTAAGTAATGCATATTAATTTTGACAGTAAGTATATCTAAAGCTTATTCATAGAGGCATTAGTTTTGAACATTGTGCGTAATATAGAGATGACGAGTGAATTAAGGCAATATTTTAATTGACTTCCTAAGCAGATTCCGAGAATTTCCTCCGTCTCAACCCTTAAATTCCAAGATCAGATCATCAATTCTCCCCTTGGGCTGCCAAACATGTCCTTCCAATTAGTTACAAGAATTTGATATCAGATCAATATAAAAACATTTAGGAGGTAAATTTGAATATTCTCACTTCCTGTTTGCTGGATAATGCATAAATAATGTAGGGAGAGGTTACATTTTAATCACTTCTTAGACTTAAAGAGTTAACCGCTCGTTATAAAAAGTGAAAAATTAAGTTCAAACTTCTGTCTTTTTTTCTTTTTAATCGAAACATCTGAATGATAAAAATTTCAGTAATACGGTTTTTAATCAAAAAAGGTTTGTAAATCTCTGATATTTTAGACGAAAGCTCCTTTTTTAAAGCATGTTTTGATTTTCGGGAATTCAAGACAAAAAGCCCTTTTCTTATCTCAGTTGTTTGTTATAAATTCAAATCTTGTTTACATGATTGGCTGTTATCTCCACTATCTGCATAAGATTTAATTTGCCTGTTTGTTGGCTTCTTTTCTGGGCTTGAAATGAAGCGATAATCTGCAAATGTTTAAATTTACTTCTACAATAAGATTCTTCAAATTTCGCAGGGAAAAATTAAGGTGCGTCTTGATGTTTACTCACCATGACTCCAGATGAAACTGATATTTGACAATATGAAGGGGGCTTCGTTCTCAGACAAAAGTAATTTTTTTTGGTAATCTTAAAAATCTAGGGATTATTGACATTTAATTTCTCGTTACATTATCAGCCCTTAATCACAAATTAAAGTCACACACATAAGAGGAAATGAAATAATCACCAACAAACGAAGCTCATGATAGTTAAACACTTTGTCCTTAAGAAATGTATAGAGAACAGTATTGGCGATAAAAACACTGCTGTAAAGATGTGAAGGGAACAGTTTTTCCAATCTTATTACTCCCGAAGGTTACTCTGGAAAAATGACTCAAATTTATCGCATGTCAACCAACCAAGTTTTGCAATGTTTCAGTAAAAAGTGTCCAAAAGAAAATCCCTATTTAGTTCTTCTGACATGTGCAATGGTTGCAAACTCAGAATATTATTATTTTGCGATGTTTTCCCCTTTACAATGGGCCACGATATTATTAATTTCACCTAAATATCCACAATATCTTTCTCATTTAGACTTATACGACACACTCCAGTTCAAACACGGCTCAGTCCATTCCTGTCCAGCTAGTCCAGATCACTTGACCTCAGTCCCGCTGACTTCATTTCAGTAGAGTCCAGTTCATTGTGCATTTAGTCCAAAACTCAGCGTCCAGTTCCATGCAGTCCAGTACGACCCGCTCCAGTCCTCGCCATTCCTTTCCTTATGGTCGAGTCCATCGTCACAAGGCAAGTGCTGACTCTCGTTACCGGTATAACTCGCTTATGGACGGGAAAGCGTGGTGAAGAAAACGGCCGACGTTCCATTGGGTTTTTTCTTCCCTTCCTCTCTGTTGTATACGCGGAGGCTGGGAACAGATCAGTTAGAAGACGCTGATATCAGGCCGGTTAGTAAGGTTCTTTGCGGGTTGGGATGAAAAAAGAGTTAATGGATAGTGCACTGGTTAAACCATAAAATCCAAATTCTACTAAAAG